GGGTACCTTGTCCGTGCCGCCCGTGTCCGCGTTGTCCTTCTTCTCCTCCTGGGTGTCCTGTTGCTGCGAGGTCTGCTGGGTGTTCGGCTGGGTATCTGGCTTTGCTGCGCGCTTCCGGAATGGGTTGTTCGGGTTGCGAGGGAACGGGTTGGACTTGTAGTCAGCGAGGAAAGGGTTGGTCTGATAGATTTTAGGGGTTGGCGCCCGCTCGTCAAGGTCGATGAGCGGGGGAGCCTGCTCCCGCGACGTCTGCGTCTCCTGGCTGTCCTGGTTCATGATGTCGGCCATGTTGGATGAGGTTGTTGATTGGGCTCGTGAGACTGCGAGGGGACTGGGGATTGCGGCCCTGTGCGGCGTTGGCTGGGCGAGTGCGGGTGGTGCCGGAGATCCTGCGCGGGAGGAGTTGTAAGGGCGAGTGATGGAGAATTCGATCTCCTCGAGCGTAGGTCCGATGTTGATATCTGTTTGCAGGCGCGATAGCCAGACGTATGGGAAGTCAGGGTTGTTGTCAGGGTTGGGTGTGATGTAGTAGCGGCGCCTGTCGATGACGCGGTGGATGAAGTATTTCCTTGCTATGAAATCAAAATAGACTCCTCTTGGATGATCCACGGTGACTTAGCAAAGGAGGAGAGGATCAAGGCGTTGAAGAGGGTCCAACGCGAACTTGCGAGTGTTGTAACGGGTGCGGAATGCAGCCTCGATACTCGGATAAAGGCGAGGGAGGGGTCGGAGTTTGAAGTCCTTGGCGCGTTGGTAGCGCGTGAGGAGTTGATCAGGGGTTGGGCGGATGCGAGTGTTCCACGAGATGTTAGGTTTTCCGGTGCTGATGGTGATGACGTCTGCGACTACCCAGTGACCGTTCTTGCCGGTGTAAGGAGTGGGTCCGATGTCAAGGATGAGGTAGAAGTCCCAGTGGATGCGCGAAGTGGTGGGATGCCTGATGGCGCGGACCGGGATGTAGACTTGGGCGAAGCGTACGCAGTCCGGTGAGAGGAGCTCGTGGGCGTATTGGATGGTCTTCTCGTGGAGGACCGGGTTGGCAGACGGAAACGGAGG